GTTTAATATCCCCTTTTTTTTTCTGTTTTCCTTCTTCTGTTTATTTTTATTTTATGTATTTCTTTCTTTTTCTCTTTTTCTCTCTAATTGTAAAAAAAAAAAAGCTGACGCAGCGCTGTTGTTGCGTGGGAAATTTCCCTCGATTCGCGCAGTCTCTCGCACACACACACATACGCACGCACGCACGCACGCACGTACACCTCCACCCGTTCACATATATTGTGTAAATAACTAAATATATATATATATATATTGATTGATCGATTTAATTATTATTACTATTATTATTATTCGTAAACCGTGTATAGAAAATATCCATTCGTGAAAAGGATTTTTATACCGCACTAGTTAGAAACTGCCCGATCGAGTACTAGAAGAAGAAAAAAGAGAAGAAAAAAGATGCGTACAGGTAAAGGACGTTCAGAGGGTCAGGCATTTCATCGTCGTCTCCTCTCCGAGTATAATACGGAAATCACACTTGACAACTATGTCTCTTACTTTCAATTAAAACCCATTGCAAAGGCTGTGGAGCAGTTAAGAAAAGAAATTGAGAAACGTAAAAGTGCGGCAGAAACAACAGTAGAAGTGCCAGTGGCTTCACCCACCATGAGAGATTCTGTAGCCATCACTGTAGAAGAGTCTGTCGGCTCTGGTGTTGAGGCCATTAATGAATTAATGGAATCTCGTGAAGCTTTACAAGATGAGTTCTTTATACAGTTACGTGCATCCTTTGTAAAGGTGAGGGATTATCTTGGAAAACTGGAGAATGAACTCGTCTTGCGTGTAAAAGATTTAAAACAACTCACGGAGGATGAAATTCGAGCACGACCGGAACAACATATTCCACAATTGTATGTGACTGTCCAATCGGTTCAACAATACCGTGTATTGAATTTGGCGGCTTTTCGAAAAATAATGAAGAAATTTATGGAACGTTGTGCCTGTGATAGTTTGGAACTTCAACAACGTTTAATGAAAGTAGATGATATCATTTCTCGCAGTTCTCTCTCTCATCCACGGTTGGATCTTCGCCGTATTGCCCTTGATTTGATTGCCCTTTACGGTACAGTGTATCGACTTACATATGAAGAGACGGTGGCTCATCTCAGTCGTTATGAACATAAGGAAGGTGTAAACATTCGCCGTATTTTACCTCACAGTGATACTTTCTTTTTCACTTTAAATTTCCCTCATCAGGAGAGACAAGGCGATTTCGCCGTACGTATTTTACCTGGTAGTACAAGTCTCTTTTGTGAAAAGATGATATGTGAGGTATTACAGTGTGAACGTTACCCACCCTGTTGTACCCAATTCCCTAATGGTGAAATTAATGTTCGTGTTTCCCGTACACTTCGTGGAGATGATGTCTTTGTTCTCCAGTCTCTTGTTAAATGTGATCATGTTGGTCTTTCCCACTCTGGTGCTCTGATGGAATTGGCATTAATGATCCACACTGCAAAGTTAAGTTCCGCCAAACGCGTAACGGCGGTTATTCCATATCTTGCCTACACCAGCAGTGTTTCTTCCATGGCTGTAGTGGCCGAATTGCTGGAGACGATGGGATGTCAACATGTTATTACAGTCGATCTCTCCAGTGAACAGGTGGAGGGAATGTTTTCTGTGCCGATGGAAACAATATCCGCACGATATGAATTTGTTCGTTATATTGCCAATCAACTTACAAATGAGGGACATGACTTTCGTAATATCACTATTGTGGCCACAACAGGGACATCTGTTAATCGAGCAAAGAACTTTGCCGATGCGTTAATGCGATATAAGAAACTCTCACGTGAGGAACAATTTGTGTCTGTCTGTACAGCCGTTCAAAGACATGTGGTTCCACAAGAGAGGAATAATAATAATAATAACAATAATAACCAGAGACCTTTATTAAGGCATAATAACAGTTATATCCCAACAGTGGAGGAAATACAGAAATGTAAAGAGTTGGCCGCTAATATGAATGAACCGGTGGGTCATACAGAAGAACAGAATGAACATGATCTACAAAAACAACGTGATTTATATAACTTATCTACACCAATGAGTGATTATGACTTTTCATTTATTGGAAATAGTAGTACCCGCGCTTTTGAAAATGCCCTGCGGCAACAAGAAGCCGGTGTGAATGCCATTCGTAATCCAGTAGCGGATTCTTTTGGTTCCACAGATGGTGTGGTACTTGTTGGAGATGTAAAAGATAAACTTTGCATTATTGTTGATACCGCTATTGATGAAGCCATTTATATTAGCCGTACCGCAAGGAAATTACGGGAAGAAGGGGCCAGTCGAATTATTCTTATTGCCACTCATTTTATTCTCTCTGGTGAGGCGGTGGAGCGGCTTATTAACAGTCCAATTGATCTCGTTGTGGTGACGGACAGTGTGGATCAGGATGAAGTGTTTAAGAATCCTCGAATAGCACAGAAACTACGTGTGTTGCCTATTGCCCCATTGCTCGCACGTGCTATTGAGAAGATGCACACAGAGAATACACTCACCACACTCTTTGAGAAGTAAAGAGGTCCTCCTACACGTATATTATTAATTACTCAATCATATACACGTGCAAAATTAAAAAAATAAAAATAAAAAAGAGTAAATAAATAAGAAGAGAGAGAGAGAGAGAGGGGGGGGAAGTAAAAACAAAAAAAAAGAGATAAGAGGGAAAAAAGGGAAAAAGAGAGAGAGTCTTTAAGGTATCTATATATATCTATATATATATATATATATA